ATTATTCCCTGTGTCAGGACTCAGAAGGTCACCACAATAGCCATTAGTACCAATCTCAATACAACTGCTGACTTATACAGGCAGCTTACATACATGTACATGTGATCTTCACTTGTCATTCTATACACCAACCAAAATCAATTATCTTAGCAACCAACATCTAATTATTAACAAACAAATAAACAAGTGATTCAATACAGCCCAGTGTGCCACAAACACAAATAAAACAGTGGGAAATGTGTGCATGTGCAAAGTGCTGCCACATCAACTTAAGATATGTTTCTTACCAGTATACCGACAAATATATCTCCTTACTACTTAACACTATTCATTGACACAAGTAGCCTTTAGTTTTGTTTCATAACAACATATAAAGAACATCTAATCTCTGCACATGGACATGTTACAGTTTGTCTGCAGAGCAATTATATTTACCCCATTAACCGTTAATACCATATATACATGTTTGACTGGCTGTATTTGACTTTTATACAATTTCTAAACAAACTACAATTAAAGCAGCACAAAAAATGCAGGATACATTTGATTTATCATTTCATTGGTCTTATATACACAACTTATAAGTACTCCAGAAATAATATTGCCCACTTTCCAGCATGTCTATTCTTCACGAAGTGGCCTGGAATGACAGTTTCCTCATCCCACTTGAGCAGAAGTGAAGACCAGAACTCCTGATTTCTGTTGAAACTAGAGAACATGAAGATAACACTATGAGAGTCTTGACCAAATCATACATGTACTTTAACTGAGCTTAGATTATCTCAAATGCCAGTAAAGTGTGTCTTTGCAACATTACTTAGTAATTCTGGTCAACTGATGTCATCTACAAGCACATGTACGTTTCTCTAAAATCTGAGATAAGTAGACTACAACTGATCTAAGACTAAGATGATTTTTTGTTTAAGGTTGTCTTCATGTATGACATCCAATCTATGGTTTTTAAATGATATGCAACATCCAAAACTTTGATGACAAACATACATAAAAACCTGGTTGCACACAGATGCAGTACCGGTATATTCTGCTGATGTACTAATGTAGGGGAATGTCTTATATCTTACCAGGAGTTCTGTCTCCCTCATTATTCCATCTTGTTCATCTCAAACCGGGTGGTCATGATTTCCTGCAGACAGATGAAGAGCACATTCATAAGTGTAGAACAGATATGTCATAACTTTTTTTAATGCACGTTACGCACAACATTCCACGTAAATAATATATTAGGCATAAACAAGAATGTACAATTCTACAGAAATGTACAAGTTGAAATTGCATGAGTATTCACATTAATAACAATAATTCAAAATTGCTAAAAAATACTTGACAGGTAGCTGATACTTACTTCATCAGAGTCTAAAAGACTTGGCAAGGCTCTGTGGTATTGGAATAAAAAAACATACAACTGTTACAATAACCTCAACCATATATCACAAAGACAAACTGCAGTACAGTCACGCATATGTTACGTGCGCATGTTACACAATTATTTGGCTGCCAAGACAAGTTTCTTTTTCCAAAACATTTTTCTACGGTAATGTATGGTAACCATACATTACAACATTTCTCAACTCATGCAATGGTGAGATTACAATGGTATCCACTCTAGGCATTACTGTGAATCAGAGACATTCAGAAAGAGATGAAGGGAGGACTTACGTATCAGCGACTGAGGAAGGAATGTTTTCTTCTATCCATTTCAAATCCTCCTCCTTGTGGAGTAAAAGAAACAACTTTTAGAGGATGAATTTACAATACAGCAAACTTCTGTACTAAGTCTTACAGGCAACAAGAAAACTTGTCATTACAAATCACTACACTATAAACAACTTGAAAAATGGAGACAAGATTTTTCATACAGATATAGCCATTGTGCTGATTGTTGTGTTCCTGAAGATCCATATTGTATAGAAGAGACTTACTGCCTTCATGTCTGTATCATTCATGGCCGGGGAGTTGCCGTTGGCATTGTTTTTCCCACTAAGGCCGCGCATCTTCATTCCCTCTGTGGAAACAAGATAAGACTTAAAAGACATCTGCGCTAGCCTACTAAAACAATTTTTTTTTACATTAACAAAAGCAGAGGTACTGGGACAAAGTACTCAAGTATAGAACGTATATTTTGACTCCATCACAGAAAAGACATACAAAAACACAAAAAGGTGAAACCAATAAAACACACATTTCTAACAGAAGCAAGGTACAAAATGTGTATACAAAAGGTTGAAATAGATATGTTTCGAGTTTGTAGTTATGAAATTTCTCTAGTATAACCTGATTTTTCAAAACATTTTTCTTAATACAAATACAAAGTCTGTTTACTACATTTCAATGTAACATTACAGTAAAAAGTTGACATGGTACTAACCAAAAGCATCGTTGAGCATGGGTTCCTCAGCTTCCACATCCTGTTCCTCAGTCAGTGGAGAGAAGGCATAGCTGCACAAAACACAGTGGTCCAATGATTAATATAGAAACATCTATTTGTATTTGAATATAAGATGTAAAAGCAGGGACCAGCAACAAGCAAATGTAAACATTGACTGCAATACTGTGTGTGTACTGACCGCTGGTTGTTGGCTGTAGGCCTCCACAGGACCATGATGACCATCAGGATGACCGAGAACAGGAGGTGCCAGTAAGCCTCATCCACCCACAACTCTGACCAGTCCTGGGGTGGGGAGGGGGGCATATTAAAAAACTGAACCTCTCTAAACACTAAAAAACTCACAATACCCAGTAAGACAGTATGATATCAATACACTATTTTGCCAAATGTTTGATATTTCTTTCAGCCTTAGTGTGTATGTTATTTATGTGTGTATGATATAATCTTTTTGTAACAAAAGTTGTAACGGCACAATTAGACAACAGTAAACAGGTACTTACAGACAGGCACTGTGTGAATCTGATTGTCTTAAAGGACCAAATCATGAAGCCGATGGAAGCTGAAAGAAAGAGGAGATCTTAAGTTTGTAAATGCTGGCTAAATTACACGGAAAGACCTTCCACACGTACAACAAACCTTGTACATCTACAACTGACAGCAATGTTTAAAGCTACCTAGTGATGATTCCCCTACTGTACTACTTGGTGACAGCGAGTTCCACTCTAAGATAGTTCTGAAGAAAATCCTTTGTTGAATACAACAATTTTTTTGTTTTTGGGACACAAAATTTTCTCAATTTCTGTTAGTGTTACATTTCGCATTGAAATGCGTGTTTCTAGTATGACATAAATAAAATATAACACCAAACAAACAAACAAACCCACCTAGCACAGCGAAGATGAGAGTGTTGGTGAAGTGTCTGTAGAGGGACAGTTTGACCAGGTTGCGGCGGAGGCGCAGGGTGCGGGTGGTCTGCACCAGGCTGCTGAAGATCCACCAGCAGATGGCCGAGTCCAGCACGGCCAGCGGGATGGACGCCAGCAGCGCCTGGTTGGTCGGGTCCTGTTTGGGCTGGAGAGGGAATCGTGTTAACATACTGGTGTAAATATACACTTCAAATCAACATGCCCGCAGAATGTACTGCACCTGAGCATGCATAACATTTCTACAGAACATATTGTTTAAGGTTGTGTTGATGTATTTAAGGATGACATGTTGTGTTGGAAAAGATATCTTATACAATAGACAAAATTCTCATGCAGCATTGACCAAACATCCAACAGAAACAAAGGTTTTGCACAGGTACAGTACATTCTGCTGACATCCTCTTCAAGTTACATTTCATACAAAATTTAGATTTTGTTAGATAATTCAAATTATCTAACCCATTTTTTCATTCCATTTACAATATAAGCTTCAGGGCTGTTTTTTGAGTCATAGACTATCTACAGATTTGTTTCTCAAGTTCAACACTCTAACTACATGTATAATTGCAAATTTTACAACCAAGAGCTATCAAACACAGTACAAGAAAAACATGCAGTAAAAGTAAGATCTCCTGCAGGAGAGAGCAGAAGAGTCCTGGGTGGAACTACAGTCTGGTCTCTACAGACAAGCACCTACCGACAGCCCAGAGGACACATGGCGATAGGGCTGCATGTGGGGGCCAAGAGATCAGGACCACATCAGTAACAGTTAGCCTCAGTACAAACTACTCTTACTTATAGCATATCAGTCACTGGTGTGTGGTTAATGACAGGACACGTTGTTAGTTCATTACATAATGGATCATATGGTCAATTCACTAGGGCCTAATTTAATAGTAGACTAGACCCATTTGCTACTATTTTGGTTAATCAAACTTAAAGTCTACGTGAAGAAAATGCAAACTTTAGAGAAATCATGCGAAGGACTTTATGCATGCCAAAACTTTACCTTTAGCCACCCATAACACAAGTAAGACCTTCTCAATCATCTAAGCCTATTGGCTCAGAACATTTGAGTAGGTTAGCTCTCAAAGCAAGAGCCGCACAAACTGTGTTGCTTCAAACAGTGCTGATAGACAAGCTACCAAATGTCTGTAATTTCTATCTGAAGAAATTTTTAAAAGGATACTGTAAATTAGGGAAAGTTCAGAAAAGGCTCTTGAAGATTTGACTAAGGACACATCCCTACTGAAAACAAGTGGATATTCCTGATCCTTGGTCCCCATCATGCATTCTTACCATGCCATTCAGGAATTGTTACAGACACAAGGCACACACACGCACACACACACACACACACACGTAACCATGCATGTGCATGTACACTCACTAACACCTTACTACTTATAATGATAGTCTAACAGAAAAATAAGATCTGGGTTGACCATCTCCATACTTACTCTGATGGAACGGAGACAGCCCTCCACAGACCCCAGGATGAAGTACAGGGCGCCGACACCCAACACACGGTGGAGCATCGGGCCAAGACGGGGCCTGGGGAAAAAAACATTGCGAGATAACATTCACCGTGTCTCAATACTTAATCAAAGACATGTCTTGAGAAGTTGTTACAAGAAAATTAGATAGGTAATACATATATGTTTACCTTCACATGTTCTAGCCTAACAAACTACTGCTCTGTTGATTCTTACTCAAACACGTTCATATGGTGACCAGCCCCTACAACTCTCCTGCCACTTGCTACATAATGTGATTCAACACCACAGGTTGTCTGCTGAAGCACCAGTTACCATGGTGAAAGACATCTAGGCCATTGACCTTATTTGTTTGGAAGAAAAACAAGACTCATTTTGTTTATTCTTTGAAAAAAGAAGACTTGTTATATTAACAGACTAATAAGTTCAGACTAATAAGTCTGTTGTTCCATGTTTTTTACAACTGTTGAATAAGCTGACTTACTTGACGATTCCATACCCCAGGCAGACAATGATGACCAGCATCCTGGCCAGGGTTCTCTTCAGACACGACACCAGCTCAGCAAACACCACTGCCCCTCGCACTGTGGGAGACCAGGAGGGCATGGTCAATCAGTTCATACAGGTCACAGCACATTTACACACATCCACAGAATGCTAAGAAGTACAAGGGTCATTCTTTGTAACATTGTTTGCAATTCAAACAAGGAGAAAAGTCCAAAAAACTCTGTTTGTGACAAGGTAATAGCAGCATAAAGAACAAATATTTGAATTGGGAACACCAGGCAAAGTACTACCCACAAGCAAAAAACCTCTCATACACCTGTAATATGAATCTGGCTCTAAATTATAGCTCGCTGGGTTTAACTTCTGAGACAGGAGAAGAAAGATCCCACTTTTCTGTTATGTGTAAGTTCTGTGATGTTGGAGTTTCTTTCTTGTCTTTAAATCTGGAAAAATTGGGATGGCATTTCTTTGAAGAGCTCCCTTCTTGCTCGTGATCAAAGAAGGAACAGTTTGAGATGAAATATATTTCGTCTTCCACCATATCAATATGTACAGTATTGACAAGTTATTCCACTTCCAGTGGTACCTTACCTGATACCCCAGTGCTGTTGACATGCTGGTACTCGGCATAGAACACAGCCTTCTCCAGCATGCCCAGGATGATGACTCCTCCCACCCAGAACTGGATCCGCAGCAGGTCCCTCCACTGGCAGGCCAGCAGGAGCAGCCAGATCACCCCGTACAGCACGTACACTCCACACATCACACCATAGAACTGTACAGGAACAGCACAAGTGTG